AATCTTTTGTGTCTTGTACGGAGAAGTGAAATTTATTAATGGCCGAAACAGCAAGAACAAACTTTTTTTATCGGGAGTGGACAAACTTCTCAGGACAATTTAATGTTGTCTCAATTGATATGAGATTCAATTTCTCATAAGAACAGCGTACTATTTCTCTTTCACGCCATGCAATTCTCATCTTTATTGTTCCGGTGATTATCAACCTTCAGCAGTTGAAGTTTCAAGGAAAAAACCAAACTCCATTCGAAACCTACCCCAAAATCCATGGGGGTTGCCATTACTAGTTTGCTCCTATATTGCATCTTGTCCGAAGCAAAGCTGAGATTTTCTTCTCCAATCTATGCTAGTATTGTTCACCAAGTTATGACATTATTTGGTTTTTTGTCATTGGCATCTCTAGAATCAACTCTTTTTCCAGACTCTGTCATGACAGTTCTCTATGTAGTGTTTATTATGCTTTTAGCAGGTGAATTGCTACGGTGGTTTTGCTGGACAAGAATGGGGGAACTTGGAGAATCGGGCTTTCATGGTGGACCCATTGTACGCCACTTCGTTGGTGCACGTAGGCACAGGGCACATGCTTTTACGAGTGAGAGGAATATACTTCCAATGTAACTAGAAGCAAATTAAGGCATTTGTGGTAACATTAAGGTAACGCTAAACAAGTAAAGAAGGATCTTGATATCAGAAAAACCTAAAATCAAAAAGTATCTGAAAAGTCGTAGGGCCTACCAAAATATTAGTAGTGCTAAAAGTGTGTGTTTGATGTATTAGTAGTGCTAGGTATCTAAAGATCCATAGACACCTTTGGACTCATCGGATTTGTCTGTGTACAAGCATTACTTGTTTGCTGCATAAGAGAACATAAGGTTGCGATGTAACATTGCCGAAAAATAAAGCTTGCGAAGTGTTTTTTAATAACACAAACCAACCAAATGTTTGCAATTATTGCACTTTGCCACCCACAAGGATCTAATAAAATAAAAATTCACTCCTTTGAAACGGTAACAAAATCAGCTTTAACTCGACCTATTAACTATTTGTATTAGAGGGTTATGTCATTTGTAGAAACTAATCAACCCTAGCATATTCATTTAATGTTGACTCCTTATCATCAACTTGTTATGTTATAAATTGGTATTCCTATTTTACCCTTTCTTGAGATTAAAAATAATAAGCTATGAACATAAAAAATCAAACATTGTGAAGAAAGGCTTCTCTAGACTCTTTTTCCAACCTATAGGCAGGGGCATAAATTTTTTCTCGGCTTGCATTTTAACTATAGCCCAAGTCGCACAACACCAAATTATGTTGTTCTTTGCACCCTTTAACCTATTTTAGCACTATAGTTTATATTCTAGTATATAATTCAAATAATTACAACGGGTTTTACAAGTATTCATCGGTTTCTTAACCTAAAACCAATGCCACACATTTAGTTGAGATACAAGTGCAAGTGACCTCAAAAATTTGTCAAATTAGAACTAAAAGTTTAAAACGGAATACACTAGTTGAAAAACACTATATGTAAGATTTTTGAAAATGGAAGGAGAGGTGTCATAATTTTTAAAATTCTAAAGGGGGTATAAAGATATTTTTAAAAAATTTGAGGGAGAACCTTGGCCACTATGCAGCTCCATCTTTGTGTGTGCGTTTGATGTATTAGTGTATTTTGTGGGCGAGGGGATGGGGGGATGTATGGTTTGGTGTATTAATATGTGTGTTTTGATGTGTGCATGTATTTTTTTTCTTGTAACAACGGTAGTGATGTTCAGTGGTGAAAAAATGGTAGGCAGTGTAATTGATGGGACGATAACGATAGTGGTGGTGATAAATATAAAATTAAGAAATGTTTTAAATATAAGTATTTTTAAAGAAATAGAAGTTTTATTTTTTTTCCTCTACTCGATAAACTACTTTTAACTTATTGAAAAAAAAAAGAAGTAATTCCAAATACTATTTTTTTTGGTCAAAATATTAGTGAGATTTAGAACTCATAAACCTAGAAGCATTTCATCTTTGTCATCCCTAATGCCATCTTATTTAGTTTTTAGTGTTCTCGTTATTATTGTCTTTAAAAAAATAAGAGATTTGTTTACTATATCAATACTATGCTAATGATGCAATAACTGACACAAGTATGAAATAAAACAGGACATGTTTTAATAAGTCTATCCGACAATCTTAAATAAATCCATTCAATAGTCACTAACATTCCTTTTAAATTTTCACCATACCTTCAAGTACAGATTATTTCTAGGTAATACATAACCTAATAAAACAGGGGAGGATGTGAAATATGTAAAACAATGCTTATGGATCTGTGTGGAGCAAGCACGCATCAAAATAATCTGTTGACATAAATGCAACTCATAAATTACATGTAACAACACATAGGTATATCAACCAAAACAAACCAATTGCAAATGGTTTGACGGAGATTGTGAGGCATCACTTATGATAAATGTGAACACACGATAGAAGGTAAGATCTTTGACATACATTGAGATTTTCCACAAAATTACAAGCAAAGGGAACCTAATCAAGTTATTTTTGCAACTCGATTTACGGGTTAGTATTCTATGTTTTTGTTTATCGATTAATTTTTTTTATTTTTACCAATATATTATATGTGGAAAAAGTGTATTACCCATTTCTTTGTGCTTTATATACTCGAACATAATCTATGATAATTGTTTATTTAATTGCTTGTCTCATGTCAAAAAAATTCAATCTTGTATAATATGAATTTTAAATGTGAAATTAAAATAGGTTTGTCTTTAATTAGGAACATACAATGTAGGACATGTTTATTTTTGATGTGGAATACCATGAAATATGTTTCATGTGCTTTTTCTATTTCTTCGAAATGTGTAATTTCATTAAATTCTTAAAATAATGTCAATATGTTTTACACTTTTAGATGGGAAAACCTTCTACAATTGATGCATTCTTCAAGAGAAAAAAATATCATGAACTTAGAAGTTAATGAATCACTGTATTCCTTCAATGTTGAGATTTCAAATGTTGAAAAATATCTCCAAAAAATCTCCAAAAATCGAAAATAACGAATTTGATATCAATTCTTTGGTGCAAGTTCCAGGATTGCATCCACAAATATGAGAATATCATGTTGATCAACGTGATAAGATTCGATGAGCTTACATCAAATCATATCAAGTTGATCAAGGTATAGAATTACTTTTTATTTAAAAAATTCTAAGAAGTTGATAAATTAGTTAAAGCTCAACTTTGAGCTAGCCAAGTAAATCTTGCTTGAAGATTTTGCTAGAAGTCTTTTATATATAGCAAAGCAGTGCAAATTACAATGACGAAAATTTTCTTTAATATAGAAAATAAATTACAAGGGAAATCCCTAATAAAAATCCCAGATTATTGAAAAAAAACAAAAATAAATAATGAAATTATAAGAAACTTTTCATCCACCCCATACCGGTAGTTATAAGTTCAGGAACACCCTTTGTCTCTCAATGATGTTAACAAAATAGATGTTTTTACAGTTATATACCTAAATGTAATATATGTTTTTAATTTATAAACCTAAAACCAATATAAAGGAAATTTCATACACAACTCCTGTAGTTTTATGTATATTCATCTCTTATCTGAAACTTCATTGTCAATTCCTAATAGATTTTGATTTTGACCGACGTTAACTAGAAATCATGTTTTGTAGAGTTACATGTGTAATTTTTTAAAAATGTATTGTACATTATCTTTTACAAATCAAAAGTAAAAGCAAACACAACTGTGCAATAATCAAAAATATTGATGAAGTAGCACTTAATGCAAAAATAGTCAATAACAAGCTGCTGTTGATTCAAAGGATTAAGCTATTGAAAACTAAAATAACATGCTCCTGCAGATAAAGCAGAATGAAAGATAACAAAGCGAAGATGCAATTGCTGCCCCTTTTAAAAATGTAGTCTATCATGTGTAACCCACTATTTTTTTTTTGCGGGGTATCTAGACTCGCTAACTGCTCTCTTGAGCTTAGCAAGTTAGTTTTTGTAGGTTAAACTGATCTAAAACATGTCCCTAAAAGGATAAGATTGATTAGCTATTAAGAACTGTAAGAAAGGATTAAACATAAGATCTCTGGGCTATCAAAGAATAGACCAACTACTAAACTATCTTATGGTTAATGCATCCCCTTATTATCCGAAAACAATTAATATATCAAGATGTGCAGATTTACAAGATTTATCCCCTCGTTGGGTGACATTTATATTTAAATTTTTGTTGTTGGAATTCGTATTTAAATATTACATGCACTAATTTGTACATATAAAATACTAGAGATAATCTTGTGTTTAAAGACACTATTAAATACTAAAAATTGAACATTGATTATATAATATTTATGTTGTCAATAATAATTTAATATTTTTTAATTACATAATTTAAAATTAAAAAATAAAAAGAGAGAAGAAATGTAAGTTTGAATTGATGATATTGTTTGGCTTGGGGAGTACATTAATTAAGTTATTTGACTGTTTACACCCAAAAGAGTAAAATTTGAGAATAACACTTGGAGGTGATTTAATGATAATGATAAGGTGAATGAAAATTCAAGCCTAACAAAACAGTTAAAGAAATGAAACTCTAAAAATCTCGAGAAATGAGAAAACACAACATTACGCCTGAATATCTATGGGAAAGAGATCACGATTACAGTCATGGTAAACAATAATAACTTCGACAATTAGAGAATATCTCCTATAAGTACCAAAGACGGGGCCACAGATGAAGGATGCTCCATCAGCACAACAATGACACACACAACCTCTCCTATACTTGGCCTATTTTCTTGTAATTTTCCTTTAGCTTGTAACTCATCACTCCGGTTATTTTTCTTTTCATTTGCATGTTTACCTTTGCCAATCTTTTTGTTACTTTCAGTTTGGGTTACTTTTCTAAATTTCAGTTCATTACATTGCTAGTTAGAAATTAATTAAGTCTTTGATCTCTAAGGCAGTGAAAAAAGCTTCAAAGATAGTCTTATGTTTCGTTACAATCGCCCGAACAATCATGTCTGCCTCTCAATAACCATGCCAGATCTTTATTTATGGAACAATCATACAAGAGCTCACAAGCTTTTTATGTAACAGATGCTTCGCTGGCTGGCTTCGCGGAACAGGGTGCAATGTAGGAAACACATCACAGTTTCAGAACACTCACAAAGCACAAAAAGACACTTAAAGTTTTCCAAAACCAATAAACGCAGTAATTACCACACAGTGAAAGCACATTATTATTAAGCTTTCCACGAGGACAACGGCGGAGTGTCTGAAGTCTTCCAAGTAGACATACCAGGCCCATATCTATCACCCTTGACTGCATCAACTGAAGCAATGGATTCGAGCTCAGCCATGTCTTCCGGTGTAAGCTTTACAGACAAAGCTCCAATGTTCTGGTTGAGGTTCTCAATCTTGGTCGTACCCGGAATGGGACACACGTCATTCCCTTGGTGCTGAACCCAAGCCAATGCTAGCTGTGATGGCGTACATCCCTTCTTTGCTGCTATTTCACAAACCCGCTCATACAGTTTTGCATTATGTTCAAGATTGCCAGGTTGGAACCTTGGTTGATACTAAAAATATATATATATATATATATATATATATATATATATATATAAAATTCAGAGTCAGAATTATGGGTTCACAATACCAAAGGACCCAAATTTGTCAACATCAATAGTCAAAAGTAAATGTGCTTCAGCATGCATCAATAGCACAATAATTTTGATTTCCAGTCACAGTGAAAAGAAAAAAGAAACTTCTTTTTCTTCAATGGAGCAACTGATCTTGGAGGAGAAATAGATTTCTAAACCGAGAAAGCCACAACATGATCTTGATGTTGTGATACCTAAGTGTATAAATTGGTATATGATAAGTAGTTTCTGGATAGACCATCTACTTCAAAGGGAAGGGAATGCACAACAATTTAAATGAGAATGCTTTGAAATCAAAACTATAATTCATTCCCTCATTTTCTCTAAATATATCATTCGTCAAGAAAACCAATCAATCTTCTTGCAGTGGAAACACCCAAGTAAAATGAGTTGTATAGAATGAATTCTTGGATGAATTTTCCATAACATTAAATAAAGGCTTCAAAGACCCAGCAAAGGTGAATTTCATAACTATTTTCAGACAGAAGACAATTAAAACAAAAAAAAGAGCTAAAGGTAACAAGTAGGGCTGCATGAGAAAATGGAGGATGCTTAACAGACATACTAGAGCTAGCTGAATCTCTTATATAGTTATTTTTAAGTACCATATTGGCTAGGTGCTACATAATTTTCACAAAAAACATTTTCACAGTGGTTCTTTGGAAATTACGTGTCCCCCATTACTAAGTCAGTAGAATGGTCCACGAGTGAGCTCTGTTGATAACTCCAGTGTCTCGACTCTCACGTGACTGGCCAGTGTTGTCAGCTTGGCGTTCATCCCTTGTTTTTTTTCCAAGGATCCTGTGGATTGATCTAGGTCTTGTGAACCTTTTCTCCGGGTCTCACAATTTGAGTTAGACGCTTTCCAGTGGGACTTTCATGTGGCCGCACAGCAGTTTGCTGTAAGTTGCTGCTTATGCAGGACAAGCTCTGCCCTGGGCCGAGGTCAAGAACACTTATCCCGTATGTTACAGTTTTCTTTCTTTTTACAGGGAATAAATAAAATTTATTTCTTAGAAGTCGTATCACAGCCTTCATGAAAGTTTTTGTGCTCAAGGAAGAGAGGCTGATTCTATATAACACAAGGCCTTACCCCAAAAGCTAGATGTGTTGCTATAGGATCCACTTTAATCTGAGTGGATCCTTTGCCCCTTGGACCTAGTGCTTGGTAGTTAGCACGAAGAGATTCTAAGGTTTATGTGAAAAGAACCTATCTCCCACATTGAAAGTCAGGCCACCTAAAATTGGTTTATATGGCAAGGGACATCTCTACGCATTGCCAATTGGTTTTGGATTGAATGATCCAATGGTATCAAAGTTGAAGCTTGGGCGGTTAGTGAGTCAAGTCTCCAATCGTTTAAATTTTCTGATACGTTAGCTCGTCTAAATTGGTTTGGTTTGTTGGCCGATATGCTAGTCCAGTTCACAAGTAAAATAAAGGTGTAAAAAGAGCTCATGTCCCAAAACTAATGCTTAAGGTCACCCAAGGTTCTTTTATTTTGAGTTAGATGCTCTAAGCAGTCAAATTTGGCATATGTACATCTTGGGGAGTCATAGTTCCACCAACTGCCCAAAATAAAAAGAAGGAAGAAGGCAACACCAGAGAATAGGTTCTTCGTATAGTACCCAGCCCATATGTTGCATACCACAAATTCGATGCTCAGCATGAAGCATAAATCATTAGAAAGCTTCTGACGTCTTAAATAAACAATATTTTCAAAAAAAACCAAGCCACATGTAAAATGTAACAAATAGGGAGCAAAGAACATGTGTGCATCATTAAGTAGGAACAAAGAACATATCCCAAAAGGAGACAAGGGAAAAAAGGTGTGGACGTGGAAAGCTTTTGTGCTTCTTATAGGCAAACAAGAGAATAAAATGCTAAATTTGTATAATGATAATATCAAACAAATACAGTACTAAAGAAAATAGGATGTGCCAAAAGCTATGTTATTATTCTGAAATCAAGAGACTTGTAGTATATAGGGCTAACCTTCCGGAAGTCCTCATTTGACAAGCTATCCAATAGCTTTGGGCCCAACGAGAGGAATCCGCGTCCCAGAGGACTGTATGCAACAATCCCAATTCCAAGCTCCCTGAAATTTTTAAGGGGGATAGAATTAGATCCTGGAATTTCTTTAACCTCCCCAAATAAGTTAGCAGAATATATGCCTAACCTGCAAGTAGGAATAATTTCTTCCTCCACGTCTCTTGACCACAGAGACCACTCCAGCTGAACAGCTGTTATTGGATGAACAGCATGTGCTCTTCTAATGGTAGAGGCTGAGGCCTCAGATAGACCTATGTATTTTATTTTCCCCTCTTCAACAAGTTTCTTGAGTTCTCCCATCTTGCAAAAGATATTTTAAAAGGAATTAGAAGAATGTTAGTGGTAAGCTTGGTCAAAGAAGGAAAACCCATATTAAGGATAGAGATGTTCAGAACACTCATAAACTTATTTCTGGAAAAAGTACACATGCACTTGTTGCACAACTTCGAGCATTGCATAAGCACTCCCACTCCATAATGCAAAAATGTTCAATGCTCATGGGAAGTATAATATTAAGTGTTTATAGTGTAGTAGCGTGTGTTCATAGTAACACACATCCAAAAATGTCCCAGAAAGGACTTGAATACTTCAGCTTCCCCTTTGGGCATAATAAGACAAGCCACTCAAGCTTACTGTGGCTGCACTGGGAGTTACAATCTGTATAATAAAACTGAGAATATATATAAAAGCCGTATGCTCTTTTGCTGAATTTATTTCCTCGCATTTGCTTTATATAAGAAAGAAGTGTTTGGCCAAGAATCAGAGCTATTAAAACTTAACAATGGTGCAAAAAATAGGGAACTTTACCATTTGTAAGTGTTAGTTAATTATACTTTTACGGTATTTGTAAATTTGTTTTATTGTTTTACCATGGTTTCAAAATTACACTTTTTAAAAACGTGTTTAGACACGCTTTCATTAAAAAATGGGACTATAAAACATATTCTCACTATGAGAAGAAAAATTATTCAAAAATATCCTTTTATAATGTGTCATTTAAACACACTTTTAGAGAAAAGCGCGTTTAAAAAATACACTTACTGTGAACACAGGCTAACTGCCATAAACAATCCTAATGCACTTTTTACTTCTTTCATAACAATTGGCAGCTCCAAGAATCTCATGCGGAAAATATGCATGACATGTGGCAACTTGCATAACATGTTCAGCATTCTTTAAGAACCTGTGTGGCAGTAGCTAAGTGGTGGTTACTAAGCATGCACCAAAGCTTGAGAATAAGACCTCCAAAAACCAACTGGCCTCCATGCTAATGGAGAAGACTAAGAAATCAAAGATTTGTCAAGACCCAGAGTACAAGCAATCACTGAGATCAGAACCAAAGGAGTTAAAAGTAAGGGAACTGAAGCCAGACCCAACGACGAAAGATATGAAGCCAAATTCTACTTCTTTGAAGGCCACATCTTGACACTACCACTCAATTGGCCTCTTTCAGATGGTGATTCAAATTTGTATGTCAGATTCACTACTTCTGGCTTATTTATTCTTTGCCCAGATCAATATTATTCTTGTATAAAGAATGGCTTGTACCTAGTGGCTTCATGGGGTGTTGGACATGCAAAGCTTTCTTAAAAGAATAAGGAGCAGAGAGAGAGAGCTGCCAGAGAATGAGGAGACAACAGGTATTTGAAACTATAAAAGTCTTACAAGGACATAATGACTTGGCATGAATTTTTTTGGTTGAATACCACATATTAAAAAGTAATACTATAGAAACCCAATTTGAGAACCTAATGAAGGACTTAATTCAATAAAGCTGTTGAATTAGTTGTGAATTTCAATCTTCAATGGAGTTCACTTCTTAAAGATAACCTGTCCAAAAGAAACACACTTTTTTACTAAAGGCGTATTTAAAAAGACATGCTTGTGCGGGCTTGATCCTGCACGATATATAAAATATTGGGAACAGATCTCTCCCCTGGTGAACTTTGGGTGAGCCGGTTGAGTGGCCAAACACACTGCTCGAAACAGCCTACAAGGAACGGTGGCAACCTCGAACGGCGAAGGAAGATCCTGGGAAAGGAAGAACGATCTTGTACGTGCGAAAGGTATTTCCTGGAACAAAGGAGAACGAGTTAGAAGGGCGCCGGAGTGTTTTCCGGCGTATCCCCTCCGACGGTCTAGTCAGTCTTTGAATGAGAGAGAGGAAGGAGAAAACACTGATAAGGATATTTTGTAGTAGTGAGTTTGTGATTGCATCCCGCTTTGCCTTTTTGGGAGGGGTATTTATACCTTAGAAGCTCATGATTGCTGTCAGTGTGGTCAGTAGGTGATCATCAGGCACTGGTAGCGTGTGTATTGATTTGACGAGGAATGTCTTCTCTAATTGACTGCTCGGGGTCCCGAGCAATCAATGTTGAGTCGTCGGGACGCCGACGGTACAATATGCTCCTTTCGGGAAGGATGTAATAAATGCTCCGTAATAGGAGCATTTATTGCCTTTCATATCCGAACCTTACCGCATTGAATGCGGTCTCGTCAACAGAAGGGTGCAATTAATTGTTTGCTTCCCAAAGCGCATGTCAGCAATAGCGTGCGGTTTGCCTGTTTTTGATGTGATATCATATGCCACGCGTCCGTCACGTATTGGCTATGACTTCTGTATTCCAGCATGTTCTGACATTACTTGTGTAAGACGAGGTCATGATGAATAGTCTAGACTGGCATAGGCTGATGTCCCGTACGTCAGTAACTTTATCCGTGAGTAGAGGAAGCGTCCAGGATGGAGTGACCCTCGGCACCGAGGAAAGGCTCACCTCGGGGGACCAAGGGGTGGTGTGTTTCCGAGGTACATGGTGACCGAGGACACGTGTCGTTGTATAATGCACCGAATATGTGATCCTATATGAGAGGTACCTCGGGGGAGAGGACGCTTTTGCCGATGGTGCTTGAACCCGAGCAACATTGTTCTAGAAACCCCCGAGGACACGTGTCTTCATCATAGGCTTTTCAGAAGAGTCCCATCAACTGCCCCCCAGCCTTCGATCTTCTGACGCCGAGGACACGCGTTGTCAGGAGACGAAGGGTTTTCCAACTGCCATCCGTCCTTCATTATGGCCTCGAGCAGCTTTCCCCGTCTTGGGATGTCGTGCGCATTAAATGCGCCGTTTTGGTTCTCCCGCCCAATGATGACAGTTTCCCCCCTATATAAAGGGGGTTCTTCTCCGGTTTCCAGTGTTTTGCCATTCCGATCTCTGACCCAGAATACGCCTTTTCTGATCTGCTCGCCGGAGTTTTTGTTTCCTCAGCCATCATCGACAGCATCTTCTCTTAAAATCAGTCAGTAAACCCATTGTTGACTCCTGGTCCTTCCGGTGCGAGTCATTTTCAAAGTTTTTCCTGAAAAACTCCGTTTCCGACGTCTTCTGGTGAGTTTCACAACCTTCTTCTTTATCGTCCTCCTAGCCTTCTTGTTTTCCGATTTGAACGGTGGTGTCATCCGGTCGGTACGTCTTGATTTAAACCCTCGGGGAACTTCCTCAGGTTTTCAAGAGAGAACACCTTTTCCTTCCCTTTCTTTTAGAGATGCCTCGTCGTCGCCCTGTTCCCGAGAATCCATCGGCTGGTCCCTCGGGGTCAGGGAAATACAAGGTGACAGGCGAGGCGCAGATCGATAGGTTCAGGGCGAAGTATGGCATCCCCCCGAGCGTGGACGTAGTGGGCTTTAACCCCTTGTTGAACTCTCCTACCTTCGGGGCCGCGGATGCCATGCCTTTCTATACCAAGGCCATCATAGAGGGTGGCATTAGGTTTCCTTTACCCCCCCTGCTTCTTCAGTTCCTGTCTCGCTTCCGTCTCTTCCCCGGGCAATGCTGCCTCAACGTCTTTCGGATAATTATGGGGGTCCTAGAGCTCAATAGGCGCCTCGGGGTGAATATTGGGCTCAACGATCTCCTTTTCTGTTACTCCCTCCTAAGAGTCATGCCCCACCAACATTTCTACCTCAAAGCCAGGGACCCCTCCATGTACCTTGTAACCCATCTTCCTGACTCGGACAAGGGGTACAAGGACGACATCTTGATCTTCAAGGGATGTTGGGAGAGGGGTGTCGGTCCCGAGTACAATGACTTATTTTGCCCTCGGGAATGGAGAACGACAAGTACGTCGGTTCCTTTGGGTCTTTTTATTTGTTTCTTGGGACTTCTCATGTTTATGACAATCTTTTTTGTTGTGCAGATATTCCTTCTCGGGAAACAGCTCCACCCCCTCGGTCGCTGGTCAATTTTGCCGACTTAATAACGGTTTGGAGTTTCACGGGCGCCGACGGATTTGGCCGAGCTGCCCATAATTTGCTGCACTATACCCCCGGGTATAAGAAGTTCTCACAGCTCCCTCAACCTTTCGAGCCTTCACAGTGGTCAGAGCTCTTTGATCAGGCGGCGAGGTTAGAGGTCGAGCAGAACTTGGAGGAAGACCCGGATCGGGCTTCAGAGGGAGAGGTAGAAGGAGTTGCTGAGGTCGGGGTCAGAGAGGACGTTGCTCCTTCGGACGCCGAGGTGGGGACTTCGGGAGGCGACCTGTGGCCGGATTTTCAAATTCTCCAAACTTTGGACGCCGAAGACGCTCTCGAGGAAGCGATGTCCAACACCCCACGCATCAATTTGGGGTTTCTTAGGCAGAGGCAATCCCTCGCAGCCGGGAGAGGCCGAGGGGCGACCGGCGGTACTCCGGCAGGAACCAGTTCCGCCAATTCTTCGAGGGCTCCCGGTCAGGGTCAGGTGCGAGACCGGGATCCTCAGGTGGAAGAAGAGAGGAGGGTAAAGCATCGGCATGACGGCCTCAGCCGAGGACCCAGGGCATCTCCCGCTCAACCTCAAAGCGGGAGGGATCGTGGGTTACCGCCTGCTCCCCCACAACAGCAACAACAACAGCAGCCCCGACAACAGCTACAGCTGCAGCAGCAACAACAGCAACAGCAACAGCAGACCCCTCCTCCCGTTCCGCCTCGGGGGGAGGCCGCAGAGTGGAATCCTCGAGCCACTGATCACATGAACAGAGTGATCAGGGTCGATGATTCTATTCTGTCGGATCCTCATGTCGCTAATGCAGTGAGTGAGACACTGCATTTCGAGGCCGACATGGAGGCTCATAGGGGGCGATCAACCAACGTGTTGTTCCGCTCCATGATCCAGAATTCCCTGGTGGTGAGTTTATTCCTGTTTTGATCTCTTCACTCTCGTTTTCTATTTTTGTGTTTTTAACACTCTTTTCCTTCCTTTACAGGCTACCCAGCAGATTTCTATCATTGCTGGCCGGTACTACGCGTCCAGGATGGATCTTCA